CTTTGCCGGATGACTTAGCAATTACTTTTAAGTTTCAAAAAGACACGGGATGGACTTGTTCTGGTTACATAGAGAAGGATTTTTAAACTGTGTCCCACTGAGTTCTTTTGCAAGGACTAGATAGGGTTTCATTAGGTGCGTAGGGCAAAAAAGCAAAAAACCACCCCCCCCCCCCCCCAAGAAAAACCCCAACCCTTGAATATAGCACATTTTCTGTCATTAGACCTTTGTCTCTTGATCAGGGGTTCCAGACAGGTTCCCCAGCCTGAAAAGATTTGAAAACCCTAGGACCTCCTATCTCTTGTTTGGCCTCATCTGTGTTGGCCTTTAAAACAACCTCGCAGGCTCCAGCTAAGAATTTGACCCCTTCTGGCCAGGAAGACATCCAAGTCTTCAAGTAGGGGTATCCTGCTTGGGCAAGGAGGGGTTGACTAGATGACCTACAAGGCCCCTTCCAATTCTGTTAATCTGTTAAAGCTTCCAAAGAATCCTTGTGGTCAAGGCAAATTTAATTTTGGTGGGATTGGGGTTTCAAAGAGCAGATGCTGGCACAGAAGCAGCCCACTTTCTGGATCCAAAACCACACACTCTTTTGCCCATGGGAGCCACAGCATGCCTCTTGTGATGAATCCCCAGAGCATTGTTTCATTTTGTGCGTTTGGCATTCTAATGGCTTTTGTGTCATTTTTAATGTAGGTCGGCTTGAGTTTTTTTTCTCATTTGTCCACTCTAAAATCTAGCAAAGAAATACAGGTAGCCTGCGACTTACAACCATAGTTGAGCCCAAAACCTCTGTCATTAAGTGAGATATTTGTTCATTTTATGGCCTTTCTTGCCACAGTTGTTAATGAATCACTGCAGTTGATAAGTTAGTAACCTCGTTGTTAAGTGAATCTGGCTACCCCGTTGACTTTGCTTGTCAGAAGGTCGCAAAAGATTACGTGACCCCAGGACACTGCAACCGTCATGAATATGAACCAGTTGCTAAGCCTTTGAATCCTGATCACGTGATCATGGCGAAGCTGCAAAGGTAAACTTGAAAAATGTGCATGTCACAATTTTCAGTGTCACTTTTTGAATGGTCACCAAACAAACTGTTGAAAGTCGAGGACTACCTGTGTATGGCCTCGGTGTAGAATTTTTAAGATATACTGTATGTATGTATGTATGTATGTATGTATGTATCTATCTATCTATCTATCTATCTATCTATCTATCTATCTATCTATCTATCTATCTATCTATCT